TCCTGACAAATGCTTCACAACCCTAGAATATAATGTCTAAATCTTCAACTACTATAAAATGGCGGAACTTTTAATAATTGCCTGAATACATTGACATTTAACTACATAATATGAGGTAATAAGCTTGAAGTCAGTTCAGAAGATGCTCAAAATGGTTGTCTTGAACTTCGTGACATATGAACAGCCTACCCGATATTTCACGCCGAACATTTTCGAACACAGTAACGTCAATGTTTCTACAAATATTTATTATTCTCTGCATATTGAAGCAGGTTCGGTTTCGTACATCTTTTGCTTCAAATAGCCCCATAAAGAAAGTCCAAAGGTGTCAAATCTGGCGAGCGGGCCTGCCATTCTGTAGGACCTCGACGGCCAATTCAACGACCGGGAAGAGTAGTATCCAAATAGTTTCTTACTTGTCTGTAGTAATGTGGTGGTGCTCCATCTTGTTGGAATACAATATCCATATCGAATTCATTAGGATTCGCTTCGACAATTTCAGTGATGAGAGGGTCAACAGCATATTCAAATACAGTTCCCCTATTAAATTTTGAACAATAAATAGAGGTCCTACAATATGGTTTCCCAATATTCCTGTCTAAACGTTAATTTTTTCTGGATATTAGGTATGTATTTCCCGGAAAACGTGAGGGTTGGTGTCACTCCAATAACGGCAATTTTGTCTGTGAACATTGCCGTTTAAAAAAATTCACATTCATCACTAAAACAAATATTGTGGAGATAGGTAGGATGCCTTGCAATGGTTTCCGTCATGATCTCTTGCAGAATTCTGTTCTTCGATCATGGTCATCTTCAGTTAATTGGTGTTCCATTTTAATTTTGTATGGATGATACCTATTCCTCTTCAAAAGTCTCCACACAGTAGAAGGAGACACCTCACAAACATTCGCGACAGAATAAGTAGACTGTTCAGGATTTACTACCATGTCACCAATTGTTTGCACTTGCTGTTCTTCCGGAATGGACAGATGACCTGGGGGCTTTTTGTTATGTACACTACCGGTAGTTGTAAATTTGGATACAAGTTCCCTCAAATATGTTTTACAGATAGGACGATTTGGAAAACGTTCATTGAAAATCCTTTCGATCTCGTGAATGTTACTCATCGCACCGTAAATAAAAATCGCATCAATTTTTTCTTCCAATGGACGAGAATTGGTCATTTTAGAGATTGTTGACTTGGTACCTTTCTACTAGTAAAACCGAAAACTAAATAAGGTACTGACATTTTTTGTCATTTTTGTAAACAAAAAATAACTCAACAAACCTTATCAGGTTGTTGAAATTGCCATATGGCAGATAAAAAGGAATATTTCTAGAAATATTGATATTAATGTGTCTTCAGGAAATTATTAAATTTTCGGCCATTTTGTAGTAGGTGAAGTTATTAACTTCATATTCTAGGGTTGTGAAGTATTCGTCAGGAGCTTCAAAATGATGTGTCACAAGAGCCCCCTTTCAATTTAATTTTTTTTTCCAGATGGCGCGCAATCGTCATTTTGAAAGTTTCATTTATCAATTTGACTTCAAAATGCATTAATTTCATTATCCCAAATTTCAATATTTTGAGTAGACCCGTTCAAAAAATAAAAGGGGGGGACATTAAAGAAATGCACTGTATGTACATTTTATGAAAATCAATATGACAATCCAAAAAAAAATTGTAGTCATATAATCAATAAAAATAAAATGTTAAAGTCATTGAGGAAACAAAAAGAAGTAGATATATAAGTATAAGAAATGATACAGATAGTATAGGAACTGTTATTCAATGTAGGAAATTCATTTATTTTTTCAGTATATGTCAAATTTTGTTGAGGGCATATTTGAATTTATTAATTTTTCAATTCTACTGGAAGTAGGTTGTACGGTTTTGGACTATAATAGAACACAAATCTTTGTGTATGGCTTTTCTTGTAGATGCCCACACTGTTCTCCATTAACTGACAAATATTAGTATAACTTAATCTCGATACATATGACATTTTAAAGCATTTCTGAGATTACTAGACGAAATTGTTTTTCCCGCAAGAGGGCGTCAAAATGAAAAGTGATGTAGCGAACAGTCACTTGGATGAATACCTTACAAATATACCTTATTGATGATGTGTCACACATTTTTTCTATATTCAAATTTTAAGGGTGATTATCACCTAGGGGCCTGAGGAGGTGGTATGACCTATGAGGTTATTAAAAAAGGTGTCCGTCATGAGTTGAAAATTGACATGTATTTTTTCTTGATGAATAGATAGATAATTAGGTATCTGCTTTAAACAACCGTTTCTTGGGGGTCAATATAACTGGATTCAATCTCTTACACTCTTGATCATCTGAGGCTTCAATGACAGAATTTTATTATGAACATTCCTGAAAATTTGGCTATATCAGATGGTTGGATATTGTGCAGTTTCAATGCCAGGACGACAGTAGTGAGTCACTGTGCTAACGCACAGGTCTCCTGGAGACTTCTGAAGATTGACTGTTTATTTTCATCAGTTTCAATCAGTTCCTGTGACATCAAGAAATCATATCATTCAAGACTAAATTCCAACGCCTTCAATGCTCAACAGAAAACTGTTATGATTATTATAAATGAAGAAAAGTAACGGTACTCAAATTGATCCTTGTGGTACCGTGAGCATTATATCCTAATGCTGCATTATCGTTACTATCATGAGGTAAATAATTCAATCCATTTATAATGAAGATATCCCCTTATACCAATATTATGATTAGTTAACCAATATAAAAGTTTTTTAATGATTACCACAACTTTGCTCTGTAATGGTATATTGAAAAGTGGAGATTATTTTCTCTGTTAAAATTAACTTCTTTCTTTCAGATTTCAGTAAAAGTTACATTATTCCTTTTTTGACAATCTTGATTTTTTGACTGACTTCACAGTTGAAATCTGTTTGCAGCTATTCACGGAATATGGCAGGCTGGCTTTGGCTGATTCTGGAACAACTCCTTTTCAAAGATTGCAATTCCTAGTGAGAGACTGGCGTTTTCCTTACGAGGCCCCTTACGGGGCGGTAGGTGGACAACAAATCCTTCAAAAACGTCTGGAAGTGAATGAACATCAACACTCTGAATTACAGTCTTTGAGAAAACATATCAGTTCTTGTTTCACGGAAATAGCTTGTTTTCTAATGCCGCACCCAGGCATAAAAGTTGCTACTAGCCCTACTTTCGATGGAAGACTTGGAGGTGAGTCNTAGTAGGTGCATTTTTATAGCCTTGATGTCACTTTTAGATTCATCAACAATCCTGCAGAGAGGGGTTAGGATACCCATGGAGTAAGAATCCTAAATGAAGATAAATATAATATAATAAATTTTCCCAAATAGTTTTTCCGGGTATCTGAATTCCCTACCTAATGCCTACAGGGTCTCCAAGTTAGTTTCGTTTTTTGTAAAGTGGTTCCCTAAGTCTGATAGTCGCTCCTTTATAGGTTTCACTTTTGTAATTTCATAAACAGTGCATTTGAGGGATTGTCTAGTATGTTCTGAGGGTGACGCATTTTGGTAATACTCCTTAGTGTAGATGTTTCAGCTGTTTGGAGATTATCCAATGCAGGATTACAACAATTTTAATAAATTATGTGTGCATATTCGAGAAGTGGACGGCAGAACATTTTATATATTTTAGTTGCAGTTTTAGTATTTGAATGTAAGACTCCAAAAGTGTTTTCCTCTATTGATGCATTTCTTTTCAAGTTTATTTTGTGGTCAATGTTAACTCCCAAGTATTTTACTGATTGCCTGCCTCTTACCATTTCGTTGTTGATGTTTATTGTAAATAGCTTCTCTGAAGGGTTGTGATGAAAAATGGTAAACTGTAATTTTTTCGGGTTTGGTCTCAATCACCATTTATTGAACCAGAGCATTGTCCTGTCGACGAAGCTTTGCAGTTCCTCTATTGTGAGTGCTAGCGTGCCGTTATGTGAAACTGAAGCAGTGTCATCTGCATACTGTAAGATGTAAAGGTTTTTATTAAATTAATCTTTGTCTTCCAAGTTGTGATAGTATATATAATGGCAGTATATACTATAGAGCTTTGTTGATATCCAAAAATAACACCCCCCAAGTGTAGGTTGGTCATGCGTTAATAAAGATATATTGATTCAGCAACTGTTTTGAAACGTCAGGCATAAAAATCTGCAAAACACGCTCAAAAATTCCGGAAAATAGCTTTGACACATTTGTTTTAATTAGTTTGAAGATTGAAAGTGACATCTGATAATCCAAAAAAAGATTATGACCCTCTCACTATTTTAATATCATTTGTAGGCAACAGCTGAAGCAAATAATTTGTCTGCCGTTGCTGATGCTAAAGAAGTCTATATTTCGATGATGGAAGAAATTTGCGGTGGTACTAAACCATACCTGAAAACCGAAACAATTGAATCTGAACACCGTAGAGTTAGAGATAAGGCTATAACGCAATTTAACAGCAAGAAAAAGATGGGTGGAGATGAATTCAGTCAAACGTACAAAGAACAGTTAGAAAAGGTATAGCAAAACAAATCTAAAAATACATGTTAACAGTATTAAAATATCTTGGGTTTTGATCTTTCTTTCAGGATATAGAAGAAACATTTATACAATTCAAAGCACACAATGAAAGTAAAAATATATTTAAATCTGCCAGGACGCCCGCTGTATTTTTCGCTTTAGCTGTATTGTTTTACATCACATCAGGAATATTCGGTTTTATTGGTATCTACTCGTTGGCCAACATTTGCAATATGGGTATGGCAATTGCCTTCATTACACTTGGCACCTGGGCGTACGTAAGGTAAAATTCAACCGGAAGTTGGGTTTTCTTGGCATTTATATCTTTCATTTTTTTAGGTATAGTGGAGAAATGAGAGAAATAGGGTCGTATATAGACGAAACAGCCAATTTTATATGGGAAAATGTGAGTAACGTAACATTCTCTGTTCTAATTTAGAAATGAGCTCTTGCATTTGAACCACTAATAGTTTCACTAATTTTTTCTTTTATCTGGTTGAATGGATTTCCATTTGGAAACAGTTTGGGTTTTCTGATTGTCTTAAAGTTGCCTTATCAATTCTTATGAAAACTTCTTTTTGCAACTCTGAATGCAATTAATGTTTTTGTACTGTTGTTTAAATCTAATATCAGATTTTCCTTGAAGATGACAAATTAACTAAAAATATTTGTATCGAAATATTAATTACTTTTCAATTTTCGGTCATTTTTTTATGCTGAAAGTTGGAATCTCTAACATTCAGTGAGAACTATGTCAACAGAGAAACATTCTGGGATGCTTTAGATTTTCCCAATTTTCTTCATGTAAGGTACGTCTTCAGTAATTTTCAGAAGATTGCATGCAAGCAGAATATGCTCTAAATTTTATTGCATTTCCTCTGCAATTGAGCGATGGTTTTTTTGATAGTTTTGAAAAACGTAACCTGTTATTATATAATATGTGATGGAATTAGCCGATACTGGATGAAAATCCATAACTTATTCATGTAGCACTTTATTGTGAGATTTTTACTGGACAGTTTACAAAACCGCAACACGTGTTTCATCATACAGTACAACAAGCTTTCTCAAGTTTTTTCATACATGAAAACACTATCCAGTGAAAATTTTCCAATAAAGTTCCACTTGAATGATATATAATAAATACATAATTATACTTGTTAGGACATGCCCCAAACGTAACATATTTCTAATCAACATTACCATTAAATATATACAAGAATCGTTGCGAGCATTGCTTATGTTATAAATGTTATTGACTGTTATTGCCATTTGTGTTGTGGAAATAGTATGTACGATCAAGAATCATGCTACATTTCACTAGTTCGGACTTCAATTGTCTAATATGATATAAAATAATTTGATACCCCTAAAAGAATCAATAAAATTAAAAAGAATAGCTGAACATTACAAATATATTAAGCAAAAAAAACCCTGAACTGAAATTACAATGAAATAAATACAAGCAACTATTGAAAATTGAACAATTATCAAGAAATAATCATTTTTTATCATATTAGACAATGGAAGTCCAAACTAATGAAATGTATCATGAAACATTGTTAACCACCTTCAAACAAACGAAGAATCATATTAGTAATTATAATAAAAATAATAATGGCTTTTGTTGAAAGGATAATATAAAAAATGAGTACGAGATCTGAACCATTAAATAAAAAGTCGTCTCGTTTCGTATCTGTACAAGTATGTTGCCTTATACAGAGTGTTACAATTTCGAATATATACACTACCCTGCAATGAAGTATTAGGACAAAAAAGTAGTTCATTAAGCCATCCTTAAAGAAATCTGAACAGCTTTTAGGTTTAAGTAAAAAACTAAACTAAAAAAGCCCAAAATGTCAAGAATTTTTGTGGCCTCCCTAATTATGGATTCATTTTTTACTCATCAGGGTACAATTAAGCATAGTATTTTATGGCTCTGAAAGAACATTCTCTGCTTTCGAGATAAGCCTCTAGCTATCACATTTTTCTGTGTTAGAGAAAGGCATGTTGTTTACAATCAACAACCCAAGCAAAAACATGGATTTGTGCAATGGCATGTATTTTTTTAGTTTGTGTATAGCTATCATACCTTGTTTATAAAATCACTTATTATTATTATTATTATTAAACATTTACATCTGCCAAAACCAGAGCTGTCCTGATCTAATGATATTTGAATTTATCAGTTCCATTTGTCCTTTATCTAGATATTCGGTGGAAATACAATTATTGTTTCATTATAAACACATTGTTGTTAACACATTTGAAATATCATTTGCTACCAGAAAAAATGTTACTTTAATTTTGCATAAAGAAAAGGACATTTCAAATAAGAAGTAAAGTCAATTGTTTTTTTTTGTTTATTTTTCTTGCATGTTAATGTGTGTAAAAAAATGTTAGTCTGCCAATTTACACTATTACTTATTACTTATCCCTAAAAGCAACATGGTTACTATAGTGGATGGTGGCAATGCTGTGCACTTGATTTAAATCAACCTGTATAACTTCAATATCCCTGTCAGTACAAACAAAATCCTTCAAGACTTTCACAAAATTAATAATTATATAGGGGTTTAAAAACTCAAAAATATATAATGTTCACAGTATATACTTTGACATAGCAAATTTGACAAATGTAAAAAAACAATAACTGCAAAACGCAAACATTAAATAACGAAATATCAAAAATTCAAAAGAAGAAAGTTACCCAGAATCCAAGCACACATTAGTTTCAGTTAATTTTATTTTCAAACCATAATTAATTTACGAATATTGGAATTGTACATAAAGAATTTTCTTGTATGGAAAGATGATAATGAAGTTGTTATTTTCAAATAAACTTACTTTTCATAAGGATTGAGAGGTTTTTTTTGTCTTTCAAAATCTGTGACTAATACAATTAATCCTTCTTTTAGCATGCCTATTTCAAAAAAAGAAAACTAAGAAAGCAGCGTATGTATCAAATGAATATTTAAGCATGTAGTCAAATATTATTGCATGGTTTTCACTTTGATATGAATAAATCATGTAATATTCTATCCTAGTTGCAGTTTATTGAAGCAGTACAAATATAATGTATGCTTTTGACAGCGGGATATTGAATGGAATTTTATTGTTTTTAAAGAAATGTAATTTCTGTGTTGTCTATTAAATCAGCGAAATATATACTTTCTTTCTGTGTTCAGTTGTAGAACTTCATGAAACCTGTCAGTGCATGATCTCTCTTAACTTGTGAGAGTTGTTCACTTTTCATTATGATTTCATTTTATTCATCATCAATCATGTATATAATGCAATAGTTCAAAACGCAAATATTTTCAAATGGAAAAAGTTTATGTTCTACAGATGAGGACTAATGAATTTATTTTATGAGTTACGTAAAATAATATTTACAATTTTCTTCTTGAGGTGGCACTGTGGCAGCAAGAACTTCTTGCAATCATTAGATTAAGTTTATAAAAACCCCTGAATCACTCATTTGTATCTCATAAACTGTTTTCCCTCAAAAAAATTTTGCTACTCACCTGTTAACTTCGATTCTTTTTCACGTATAGACTCTCATGCAATTGCACATATATCAAATGCTTTCTTAGTAAATTGAATAAAATTGTTTGTGCCTAGGACATTCAAGTATGAAGCAAATGAATTCAAGTTCATGATCAAACATGGCTTTAAACAATAGACTTGTACAAAAGTTGCTTTTGCTTAAATTTCATTATCAGGTTGTGATAAATGTATGTATTTTGATCATACTGCGACTTAATTTCTTCATTATTTTATATACTCATAAACTGAATTCCTCTATTTATATGTATATAAAATTATAGCCTTCAACAATAAATTTCAAGGTACTACAAAAAAACATACATCTGATCATCAGACAAACGACAAGATCAGGGGAGTAGGCAAATTGAGACCCCAGCGTGTAACTACCTGAGGAGTAGGCAGATTGAGACCTCAGTGTAGTGATAGCTTCCTGAAAATGGCTTCAAAGTCGAAGCCGAAACGATCACTCCCATATTGATTTCAATTTAAGAGCCACCGATAGACAGCTGTTTCAGCCTATTGGTCATCGTCAGAACCGGGCAGGCGGTCCTCAATTGAAGACAAAATGTGAATAACCAAGAAAAGTACTTAATAAATAAAAATAAAAATAACTGGGTGTGACACCCAAGTCAACTTGATAAGTTTTTACGTCAGTGAAAACGAATCCACATGTTTCTAGAAATGATATGAAATCGAGAAAGGTAAATGCAGTCAAGCTGTTGGAAAATAATTCCATGAATATCAAAAGATAAATTGATAAGTGACAGCAGCTTGACTGCATTAACCTTTCTCGATTTCATATCATTTCTAGAAACGTGGATTCGTTTTCCGATGGCATTCCAGGATAGCTTTCCAAATTTCTGCTACCGCAGTTGTCTGTTGTTTGGTCAAACTACCAACACTGACATAAAAACTTGGCAAGTTGAATAGGATGTCACACCAATAGGTGGTTCCACTTATGTCTCGCTTGCTTTTACATGGTTATTTTTATCGAGTACTTTTCTTGGTTATTCACATTTTGTTTTCAATCGAGGAGACCGCCTACCCGTTACAGACGATGTCCCAATAGGCTGAAACAGCTCTCTACCGGTGGCTCTTGAATTGAAATCAATATGAGGAAAAATGGTTCAAGAAAAAATTTATACAATCTGTGAAAAAATTTGTACCCAATTGAGAATCTGTGAATCAGTGCAGCACTTCCTTTTTATACTTGTACATATTGTAGATAGTTTTCTGAGGTGTATGTAATCCAGATGTATGCAATTAAGATACAATCACTGCAGCACTCATATTCTTCCGAACAAATTTTAACTTCTGTAATGATTCATACCTGAGTCAATTCTTTCAAGTAATTGATAAATATAAATGCTGCAATTTATTTGTGAGGAATTATTTCAGTCAGTTGGTTAGTTTTATGTCAGAAATCCCATTTTACCTATCGAAATGTGAAATTCTATGACCTATATATAGAAATGTTCTAGTGTTCATAACAACTTCTGTGCATCAAACTAATTTTTTACCAATGCCATTGGTAGTTTACTAATTTTTTTATGTTTTCAGTTCATGAAGACAATAGTTCAAGGCTACGTCGAAAACGGTATGCAGCAAATGGCTGCAGGAGTAGCTGAGAGAACGCTTCTGAACGCAACACAGTTGGCCATGAATGGTAAAAAGGATGCATGATTAATCCTAGTCCGCTATAAAATATGCATACATTTTGAATTCACATTGCTACCGCTTTGTTACATATAACGTGAACCCTAGAAAAAAATCTACGTACCTCTATTGTATAGATTGGATTGTTATCTCTTGCCAACTTTCGGTTTCGATGTTGTGTACAGGTAGATGTGTGTATATATATATGTAACATCGATTTTTTAATATTATATTGTGATATCTCGGCAATGTTGGTATTATATTGAAACACTTCTTATTTATTATTTTATATTCTTAATGAATCTATATTTTTATTAAGTTTTGCTATACATGACAGATCATTAAGGAATTATTAAAAAATATGTAAAAAAAAACTAAAAATGCATTTAATTAAGAATTAATTAAGTAAACATGGTGATAGGTTTTTTGTGTTTTATAGTAATTTTGGGGTGCTATACTTTTCGATTCAGGCTGGGACTTTATAGAGAGCTGAAAATCTTTGTCTAAGTTAGAAGTTTTTCGGTAATAATTATGAATGAAATGTTGAGGTTCTTATTCAATCTGCAAACTTTATACAAGTCCTTGAGTAATATCAGCACTTTTCGTGAAATAACGAATCCAATGTTAAGTTTTGTATAAGGGAGAATCCCTAATAAAATTTTATCCTGATAAAAATTCATACTTTTTTTGATGAATTTATTTAAGTGGCCCCAAAGATTGGATATTTATCTATTTTGAAAGTAAAAGCATCATTATTGTTTATATTCTTGAATGCATAAATGTATCTCTTCAATATCAATTATGAATGAATATTACAATTGTAAGTAAATATTCAAAATTTGTGAAATAATTGATTGTTTCATACTTTCATTTCCGTATGTCCTTAAAATAGTTCAATTTTGGTACTTATTTTGTGTTTACAGTTTTGATTTTACAGACGTAATTATGAGTTGCTAGAAGTCATTAATGGTAACACCATTTGGAAAAGAAAGGTTTTTGGCTTTCTACTTCTCCATATTTAAACAAAAAATTGAAAAATTACAGTAGAACTTCAATTATCTGAATCAATTGGAACAGATCCTAATCCGCATAATCAAATACCCAATCCAAAAATGGTTTTAGTGACGAAAAAAATAAATTAACTAACTCTAATGCAGTATTCAAAACATCATTTTATTACTGTAAACATTTGAAGTGGAACCACTGTTTAATGGAAATAGTACACTCACATATGAACAAAATGAAAATTACCATTCAAATACTTTTGCACCAAATTCTACATGCACGTTGAACCACATTCTTGAAACATCATTGATTCTGTATTCGAGTTTGAAACCCATACTCATTCAGAGACCCTAATAATACCAATGTAGTAGGTGCATTTTTATAATTCTTATGTAGAAAAATTCTTCTTCATTAAACACTCAATTCAACTCAACTCCATTATTCTCATCTGATAAATAATAGTTAATTTAAATGTTTTATTCAGAAGTTGCCTGTGGTGCTTTTTTCCATTATCATAAAATAAGTTTTTTCACAAATTTTTTGTTCTCAAATTAAATTCATTCATTTATCAATGTTTGAACCATTAATACAAGTCATTATATTGTGAAATAGATAAGTTAATCTAGTTGACATTATTCATCATATATATGAAACAAGGATACTTTTCAAAATCATTGCAACATGTTGGACATAAAGTTGCAAAAATTCTACCGAAATAACTTTACTCAGGTTAACATTTTTTTTGTTTGCTTTATAGAAGCATAGGAAGAACCAAATAATTCAGTCTGATTGGTATATAAATTAAAAATTTCTTCGACAATTCTTGTACTCTTTCTTAATATGGAGTTGAAAAATTGTCAGCTACCACCATTTTTCAAGAATCACAGCTGATAATACTTGCACTTTAGTCTAAATTAAGAATCATTTCAAAGTAGCAAGGTTCCTTTTGTTTTGCAATTCTGTCAGTAGTTTGCTATAATTCTTCCTAATACTAATATTATTCCAATGATGAATACTGCTTGTATCAAGTGTTGATTTTTGTGGGTCAACAATAAATTTTTCAAAAAAAAACTTGTGCCAAACATGTTTATACTTTTTATAAATATTCAGGTCAATGGGGTTATAAATTTTAGAACTTTTTTAAAATTCTTCAAACATATATTCCAGCCTGATTCGGAAAAATTAGATTTGATTATATGTAGCCATTGTTTGTACTTCGTTGACAGCTTACATATTGTTCACTGTTAATTTTTGCACAGTTGTTGAGTCATGATTTGTCGTCTAGAAAATATGGTAAAAATGAAACAATTCACATTTTTTACTTCGAAACGTGCCATCAGTATAATCTCATGAAAACCTAATTAATTTGATTGCAGAAATAGCTAACCTTCATTGGATATCTCTATTGATGAAATAGATGTACATAGAAACTATTGCCATTTGCTAGTAACAATCGCTTCAAACAATGAAAAATGTCATGGCTATAGGTAACTGTGTTGGAAGTTATTTTTCTATTTTATTGATCACAGTCTGCAGGTTTTTACGTTTGATGTTTTATCTACAATTGCTGTACACATCAAAGTGGTGACAGGAAGGACACAACGTTCTATTTGCCCTCAAGGCACATATCACATTGATTGTATTATTTGTATTCATTGTTCTGATTTGTGTATTGTTGAGTGCGGGTAGCCAGACCTTATTTATGTTGATTTCCTATTTCTATGGGTAAACATTATCTGTGTTTTTTTAATTCTCATCACCTTCCCAAATAATCTTAGATAGCTTGAATCCAGGACTATGTAGGGACGCAATAGAAATTATAAAACAGATTACTGCAACTGAAAAAAACAGGAAAATAACATGAACTAACTCAACACATGAATCAGGCCAAGTGAACCAATCAATTGAAATGCAGCCATGCCAACCACAGTAGTATGTGCTGCAAGGACAAATAGAGCATCTGTTGTCTCACCACAATTGATAATGTTAATATTTACCACAGCTGCAGGTGAAATGTGAAACACAGACACCTGCAGGCCACAGCCAATAAACACGGAACAAAACTTCGACACAGAAGCTGTTTTTTTTTAATAGTAACACTATTGCCATATTCTCGACAAGACGTTCGAATAAATCAAACATCGTCTGAAAGTTTGGCTACGTAGTGCAGATGTAGGCAATGTTGTTGGAAAGTAAAGAAAGTCATTGACTGTCAAAATGAGATATAACTGCATCATGAGTGCATTGAACAGTGAGAAATTTACAGAATAGAAATGAGGAATGTTTCACAGTCACATATTTTGTGAGATGTTCTCTTAGCAAAAGGGGGCTTTCACTAATTTGACTGTCAGTAGTAGTTGTCTCTCATAATCATTTCAATTTTCATTGCGATTCTATGCTGTTTCAGTCTAAACTTTATGAATGATACGTAGTCTAACCATACTTTATTTACTATCCAATTCAGACTCTCTATATGTAAGTACTGACATTGCAATATTTTTACACCCAAGTGCCTCATTAACCTATAGGATATATTTTAATCTTCGTTGTTTTTGTCTTGTCGTGTCCAGTTCTAGATTGATAAAATTATACTTAGTGTGCACGTGAAATCTTCAAACTTGTTCTGATTTAGGCGAAGATAGGAAAGTGTAATAGTTCATAGCTTCGAAATTCGTTAATTGGACAAGTAAATGTTGACAAATCTACATTACTGGCAACGTGAGTATTTGTAGTAATGTAAGGCTGTTATTTTGCATACAGCCGAATACGTTACTATACTTTTATTTAAAATGAAGAATAAACCCTGAAAGTCAAAATGCTCGATATCTTCAGAACTATCGATAGTATGATGAGTTCTGATCTCTTTTTAATCATAAAATCTTTTATCACACTATCGATATATAAAAGAGAAATTGATTCAGCAGAGGGACCTGAATTAATAGTTTACAAATTTGATTTTCTATGAATAAAAGATGCTAGTATCTCAATTCCTAATATAAAAGTGTTTAGCTAACAAAACTCAAACTTCAATATTTGAAGTGGATAATGTATTAAGACTGGCATCATAGTATTAGAATGAACTTCTTACCTTTACAGACTTGAAAGATATAGCTTTCTCACGTGGACACCAGGTATAGGAGAAGTATGAAATATTTGAAATGATGCCACATGGTTTCAGAAGGCTTTTTTGGTACCAAATTATTCTTTAGGCGAGAATATTCAACAAAGTATTATACAAATGGGAATATATTTTTTCCGAACTGTACAATAAGAATTTTCCATGATGCTGTTCATGGGTGATTGCAAGTGCGTTAATTTTATAGCATTGCTTGATTTATTTGTAAAATGACGAATTCATAGAAATTAGTATTTGTGAATTGATTACAATTACTAAAAACTGATTCAATTTTCGAATTTTTTTGCTTGCCAACCTCCAGACATGCGGGTAAACCTGTCTGCAAAAACTGTCTATGTCTAAATTCTTGAATTCGTTAATAAAATTAGAAATATGCTGTGAATGAAATCAAAAAATAGTGGAATAAAACTAAATATTTGGTTGAGCAAAATATTAAGAAAATTGGTTAATTTTTAGTGTAATAACCCAAAATTGATTCAAAGTTGGTAACATACCTACAAAGTATTTGTCTTGAAAAAAATTAAAAAAACATAACTGGAATGGCATCAGATCGACTCTTATTTGTTTAGAATACGAGAATTAGGTAATTCAATAATGTAGGTTTATTTAATATTAGGAAGTATTTTAACTTATCTAAAGTAAAATTCCAGAAAGTGAAATTGCGGTCACTTGGTCTTCAAAATTTTGTGTGAGGAACCATTTTGTGGTGTTGAGCTCAACTTTTTTTTGTTATGTACTTTGAAGTGTATAATGGTTTTGGTAATAAACAACTAATATTTTTAATGAATGTTTCATTTATTATTTTATTTATTATAAATGAATAGGTNGTTTTGAGTTCACCAAAAGAGTTTCTTTCGTAGTTTAATAAGTTCTAAGTATTTTTATGTTTGTTGATTGAATTTTGTATAAATTTATCAAACGTTTATTCTTTACCTTGTAAACTGCAATTTCATATTCGTGTTTGAATTTTTTGAAATTTTGAAGAGGTACTTACAGTGCGCAGTGCTTGTAAAGTATCTCTCATTGAACGTAATTCATCATTAAAAAAATTCGCATTTATAATGATATAAAAAAACAAGAAATTTCACTGCTGTTTTATATTTATTATAATTTCATATAAACACACCAATTTGCAATGCGATGTTTCGTTCATTGGATTTTGTCATCAACTTTATTTTTTAAATACGGACCTCTAGTTTTCTAAATCGATTTTTCTACCGTAATAACAAGTTCAGCTATGTATTATAATAAAGCGCTGTATTAAAAAAAATAAAGTTGATGATAAAGTCTAATGAACAAAATGTTACATTGCAAGTTGGTTTATATTAGATTATAGTAAATATGAATAAGTATTTAAAGTTCCCCTGTTTTTTTTATATGATTTGAAATGGATGTCGTTGAGCCAAAAAATGAAATTCGACATGGCGAATATTTCGAAACAACCACTAATATCTATCTAAAAAGATATTATTCTAGTTTCTCAAAATAGAAAAACTTTGTTCATTTTAACCAATCTGGTAGGTCTTTCCGTTTCCTAGATAGCTATAGTGCAATCAGTTAAAAAGACTGCCTGTTTATACATGAATTGTCAGCACTGCATTGCAATGATTTGATATAACAATACTTGTAATGTCACATTTACTCTCTAAAAAAGGTGATATTATGAGGCTTGCAACATTTTGATCTAAAAGTAATGTGGGACTTAGTAGAAACTTCTAGAATTATGGAACATTGGTCAATTTATTAGGTGTTAGATTTATAAACGTATTATTATGTAATAACAATGTATAAACATTTTAGTAAAAAATAGTTCTAGTCATGTTATAAAATATTTTTATTCAATAAACATACAATTAGTCACAACAAAATATCACAAATAAAAATCGCAGTCACAAATAATGTTTAACAACATGTCAGAAATTAACTTCTGTGTAGCTTGTCAAACAATTCCTATAATTTAATTATGACGAAATTAGTTTTCACTAAAATGTAAAAAAAAAATTAAACCACATCTTTTCAACAATAAATACTAGGATTTCATAACAAGGATTTTATAATATTTCCAGTAGAGTGCATCAAGTAATTTATTCATAACCTGTCAAACAATTCTTATAGCCTAACTACAAGGAAAAGTGAATATTTCAGTTCTCTGTGAAATGTAAAATGACGGTACTTCCAACCTTAACTTTTTGAACAACATTCAAGCATTTGAAAACAAGGACTTTACTATTATTATAAAATTAATTGATGTGGAAGGATTGACATTATATATATATACATACCATCTGTAATTGTAATACTGGAGATTCAGAAAAAAATTAAAACTCATTTATTTAGAAAATCATAAGATTATTGATTCCCTCCAATAAAGCCATATATAGTTCTAATTTTACTTAAACTCCAATGAAATACAGATAACTATGAATATTTTTAATTGAAAATCAGTATTGGTATAACTTTCATAAGGCCATTCATACCAAACTTTTTTAAGTTAAAAAGTAGCTGTTCGTATTGATGATCTTTAAAGAAACGAGCCCTAAAAATAGATAGGTTCAAATTTCAATCAAGCCAAAAAATTTTTCTTCTACAGTGTTAAACAATGACAAATAATCAACACAAATTTACTTTGGAGAAATTTAATTTTTCTTTTTGAGAAAAAAAGCTATCAAATGTATTAACCCAAATATTCAAGGCATTCTCAAACTATTTGCTGAACATTCGCTTTGTCATAATATTAACTTTAATGTTCTCATTTCTAATTTCTTCTTTAATGATAGATAAATGTTCATTGCAAGCTTTATTCCCAGGATCCATCTGACTTACATTTCTAAGTATCTTATATGCTTTTTCAAAGTCTCTTTCTTTTTCACACGCCACACCCATTTTATAAAGAGCTTTAATGTTGCAGGAATCATATTCCAAAACTTTATTGGACAAGTCATAAACCCTGCCCCAGTTTTCAACCCTCAAGTAACATGAAGCCAGATTATTGTACAAAATACTTTTCAGACTACTGATATTACTGATTGGAACACCATCCACTTCATTGGGCGTTTGTTCTACATCTATAGGAATGGAACAAATAATTTTCAGAGCCTTGGAGTACCTAAAAGCAGCCTCCTTGGTATTATTAGACTTGAAGAAACAATTGCCTTTTTCTTTGTGATGCACTGAAAGAGCGTACTTTTCAGAAGCACTCCATTGAAAAATAAATCCCTTGAAATCTAATTTTGTCAGTTCTATAACCAAAGATATAGTGCTCCCGTTCAAATCCAGGGAAAATAATGATTTTTCCCCAACGTTCATAGTACTCAAACAAAAATCCAAAGCCCTCCATAATTCACCATCATTGTCACCTAAAACCGTCACAGAATTGGTATATTCTTCCAGTAGAGGACTGTTGGTTATGGTAATGGTACAAAAACTTCCTTCTGAAGGTTTATTTCCCCACACACCAGAACGCATAATTTCCTTTCTCATTGTTCTAATAGAAGTAGGATTACTCCTATTGGTCCAAATACCAGCCATAATTGTCTAAGTAAAGGCGGTCCCAGTCTTTTTCTTTGAGAAACCTGTGTAGAGTTCTCTGGCTCAAATAATAGTAGTATTGGAATATCTTCTTTTTATAGGAAAATTGGATGGGTACACCACGTTCGCAACCGGTGGAATACTGGCCAGTGAAATTGTCCGGTTTCAAAAGGCAATGAAGAATAGCTTGTGCTCCTAGTCGAGGACTCTGAATGATAGAACGCCAGAGAAAAGGATTTCTTAATAAATACAGATTTCTGAAAATCAACGTATCCACAACTCCCGGATTAACAGCGTTTGTGGTGATTCGACCAGGTTCACCTGAAATGTACCAGACTGCTTTAAAATAAATTCGAACATCAGGGTGAAAACTTCTACTAAAACCACAGAGTAAACCAAAACATTCCATGTGAGATGTGAGGTTAGAAAAATTTTAAAGTTTAGGCACAACATAGGTAACAATCAGCAATGTCACTTCGCTTGGCGGGAGAAGTTCGCGCATATCCGTCGCGTTGATGAGTCCGCCATTTTGGAAAGTGACAGACTCTCATTCAGCCACAGAATACTGATTGTAATTCGCGGTAATTCTGTAGCCTGTGCATTCAGCTTTTGGATTTGCTCTTGTTAGGACGTATATGTTACCTGTATTTTGTGCGTATCGTGAATTTTAACTTTTTAACATATAGTAGAGTAAAAAAAGTTGATTGCTGAACAATTTCTCCTTCATATTCCACTTGATTGAACCATTGTATTCCTACTGGATATTTTAGAAATAATTCGGCTGTTTTGAAATTTTTTGAAAAAAATCATGTAACCAGATAGAATGTCTGCACAAGAATTGTTATATCAATTGAATATGGGTCCATTCCGTAAGGTATATCAAAATTATATGAGCATTTTGGATATAAAAAAAGTTTGAGTGCGAACCTGTCCAAAAACATTTCGCGAGTCCAGCCCTCTTATCGTCACTTCCCAAAATGGCGTCTAGATACTTTTCTACATCAAAGGCGGCATAGCCAAGTGTCCATGCTGATTGTTACCTATGCTGTGGTTTAGGTCCAACGCAGTGTTGCCGTATGATATTTTCGAAATTCCCTAGACAATTTGATAAAAAATCTATGGTAGATTAAGGAGAACAAAATTCGAGGTAGTAGGCCGTGGTCGAATGAAACCTAAAGTGCCAAACGTTTCGTCTGCTACTGTGGCAGACATCCTCAGTTGTATATGCGTTCACTGCGAGGACGAAAATTATATCTCGTAGTCTCAGCAACGACTGTCAGTCAGTCAATTTATTGTTCCACCTTGCTCCATACTCTTTTTCGCACAGATTTTCTTTTTTCCATGAAAAAATGTATTTTTCGTCTGATCTTTTTTGAGGCGCGTAGCGCCGAGGGATATAATGTACGAGGTAAATAATAGCTTTCTCAGCCGAGGTATATATAGAATTTTTTTCACTATCAACATTGATATATTAACAATTTTAATTTTGGCATTAGTAATTTTTTTAACAATTTGTTGAATATATCGGAATATCAAGTAGAGTGGAGCATGTTTCTAATCAAACTGGCTTTATTTATGTAAAAATTTGGCATGTGTCAAATTGCAGATATGAATCTAGGAAATATCTCATTGCATTTTTGATATATTTCAATGTTCCATTTCTCTCATCGCTTCTGTATGTTTAGAACTAAAAAAAAAAGCTCTTTTCCCAAAAACTGCATTGAGAATTACTTATTTACGTATACTTTGGTGAATAATATAATTGCAGGCAGATACTTATAAAAAGGACGACAAAATTCAAAATTTCATATTATAATTTTAACTCTGACACCAATCAAATCAAAACACAGAACACCATGAAAATGTAAGAAGATGAAATTCAATAATACTGTCGTGGATATTTATACTAGATAATATGCGAAAAATTTTCCAACAATATGCTACTGGCTTGATGAATAGTATTTCTCTAATAATTGTTTCTGCAGCTATATAGTAGTTTGATCTTTCTCTTGAAAATCACTTGGTGATCGAAACACGTGTCGAGGTGTTGAAAATAACGATTTGATGTTGGGAAGAAACTCCAGTAATGTTCATTACTACCTACACCAATGGTTCCAAACAGTGTATGAACATCTGAAGGTTTTGGTAATTCTGTATCACATTGCGTCTGGCGTTTATAAGGTTTGTTTTTGACTATTTTACGTACAGTTGAGAAAGGAATTTTGGTCAAATCCGATGCTACTTTTAATAGTTTTTTCCTTGAAACCAAACTTGGGATGTAGATTCTTCTATACATTGAAATATACTCTCTGTTTTTCAATATTCAAATGCATCCGTATCTTATTCACTGGTATTTCTTTTTCGCATTGTTCACCATCGCTATTGGAATTACTACACTGGAAAAAGTCTCCGTTGTTATCACACTCGTTATTACTATTAGTACTTGTTCAAGAACGCCACATTTCAAAAAGATAACAACAATTTTAAGTAATTATAACTGCACCAATATCGAATTTCAACACTCAAATCGCGATCAGTTCCTGAACTGAACACGACGGCGATAACCATCCCCGCATTCCCCGATTTCTATTCGTCACCGTAACATGACCTCAAATTCTATGCCTCTTCAGCCCATCATAAAACTCGGTTGGTGAAAATTATCCAATACGAACCACCAATTCTACAGTCCACGTGGACTACTTCACTGCCAGTTAATTTCTATGTATTGGTCTTTAAGAGTGCCGCCAACATTAATTATGCACAATATCGTTCACTTCGACTATACCTCCATGTTAAGTACCTTGAGTTGTACCTACCCAATTAATGATAAAAATGTGTACCTGATGTGTACCAATAAATCAATAAACATAAAAAAAAAGAGAAAGTGTAAATAAACACGTAATGAATGAAATTACTTGAGCTTATGTACCACAGTTATTTACCAGGTTCTACATTTGAGAAAATATTCAGAAACGGGGAGTTATTTATTTCAATTTGATCATTCAGTAAATTACTCGAATTTTCAAATCAAATTATTTCTAAAGATTCTGAGAGATTGAGTTTTAAATTTTTCTCTTCTAAATGTAACACGTCATAGTCGAGAACACACCAATAATATCGCCTGTTTTTTTTTTTTAGAAAGGAATGCTGGGACGCGGCTTACAGAACAAATAATAATTAAAGCAAAATTAAGAACAATAAAGATAAAATTTCAGTGTCGGATACATCAAGAGTATTTAAATTCAATTCTCTTGTGGCTCTTGCCCAAAACTTTATATTGACCAAACGGGGAGAACTTGTTTCCATTGAAGGACATGAGTTCAATTATATGACTATAACGTGTTACATTTAGAAGAGAAAAGTTTGAGACTCAAATCTTTTAGAATGTTCAGAAATAAATATATTTAAAAATTCGGGTCATTTACTGAATGATCAAATAGAATCAAATAACTCCCCATTATTGATATTTTTTTCAAATCTGGAAACTGGTAATTAAATGATACATAAAGGTAATTTCATTCATAAAATATATATTCAGATGAGTTTGTACACTATCTCTTCTTTTCTTTTGTTCATTTTCAGATGATTCTTAAAACTCATTGCAATAGAATTCAGATGTGTACCTAATTATCAATATTTCGATATTTGATAAATGCAGAATGTTTGAATCACAAGGAAGAATATGACTAGTTGTCTCTATCAAATTCATAATCATATATCGAAGGCAACTTATCAAAAGAAGTAAACCTATTTTTATTCTAATATTTTCTGTTTCTTCTAAACATTTTTCCAGTCTCATTAACTATATTGTCACATATTGAATTAATACTATTTTTTACTTGACCTTTTCTCCAATTTGTATTTTTTTGAACCATTACTTCAGCTTCTACTTTTAATACAGGTAAATCTTCGACTTTGACAATTGCGGAACTAGCCAAATGTTACACCCATGCTCAATCTTTAATGAGATGGAATGCAATCTTGCCATGATCACCTTGAGCGACCATGGGAAGCTGGCGCCCAAGAAATATCTGGCGATGACCAGGAAAAATCTACGCCTAACGGGAGGATTTCTGACTGGCCACTGTCAATTGAAGAAACACCTCCATAATATGGGGCTAGAGGACACACTTCTATGCAGGATGTGTGAACAGGAAGATGAGACTGTCAGGCATGTTCTATGCGAGTGCCCGGAGTTATCGTCAATGAGATAACTCCGGGTTTGTGTTCGGCGAGTCTTGGCCTACACCTTCCGATATAGAAGAGATGTCTCCAAGTGACCTGTCCACCTTCCTGGAGGAAAGGACAGGATGGACGATGACCTAGGAGGACAACTCCTCGGGAGGATGTACAATGGGTCACATGTAGCCTAAGTGCTGTGGGCTTACACTCACCCTCCCTACTCTACAGATACAGATTCAGGTAAATCTTCAGCAGTTTTGTCATAGTAGTGTTTTTGTTGGGCTTGTTCATTTTTCAATTTATTTTGATATAAATTAAATTCTATAACGGAAGGCTTGAGATTTTCTTCTGATCTAGAAATTTTTGTTTTTAAAATTTTGTGTAGAAATACTCAGGCAGGGAATAATTATTTTGAGGTAGAGTATTGTGATAAGTATGGAAAACGGAAAATTACTTTCCTCATTCATTTTTTTCAACATATGTTCCTAACGATACCAACATATCTCTCTATCTGCTTGATGGTGATACAGACTGCTGAAAATTAATTCGAAGTAACGTTTCTTTTTACGAATCTTTTTAGCTTCAAAGAGTTAAATGAAACGTTATCTGAATGGAATATACCAGAAATACCATATCTAGAAGAAAGTTACTCACGAAAGGTGATGACATCGTCAGGTGATTTAAATTTTGTTTTTGTTACTTGTAATCAATTAGAATAGTAATCCACTATGAGAATATGATTGACATTAAATTCAAAGAAATCTGAAAAAAATATTGCCAGATTCGAGTTGATAAAGGATGACACACTAGTGTTTTTTTGGTTTGATTTTTTATTCTTTTGGCAGGTTTCATAATTTTGAACTACATTTTCTATATCTTTTGTTAGTCCTGGCCAGAAAAATTACTTGACGAACTCTTATTTACTTTTTCTATGCCAAAATGGTTTATTGCCCAAAATTGTTTGACTTTTCATAAGGTGTTATCATATGTCATCTCTTTTTGGAAACTGTTTTTCTTCTGGAGACATAGGAATGTTATTGTAAAGCGTATGTGTAGTATATTCCTTCTCTGGGTGCATCCTCAACGTCTGTTGTAATAAAGGAACGACGAGTATCAGCTGCAAACATATTTTTCCTGGT